CGAAGTCAATGTCTGGGAAATTATTTAGGCTGATGCAATAACGGAGTGTTAAACGAAGCCATACATCTCTGAGATACGTTCTTAGACAACCCAACAATTGAATAAACTATTTTCATTGACTTAAGGTCAGGTATGAAGATCAAACCAATGTCAAAACCAACTCGTTTTATTACTCCAGGGCTTGCTGCATGGGATAGTTTCTGGTGCTCATTTCGAATTTATCGATAGCCGGAACCCCATTTTACAACTTTCATGAACTTCTTAAAGGTCGCAATAGTTCCATGACCCAAAAGGGCCCAGGTCAGCATTTTATTTTTAGGAGCATATTGCCTAGCGTAATCTTTGACGCTTATTCAAATGCAAGACTCAAAGCAGCCCTATATGATTTTGGTCACCATGACCTAAAAAGGTCAGATATGTCACTGACCTTCAATGAACATGTGACCTTTTGTTTAGGGAGGTATCTAGGTTCTGGGAGCACTTTTGAGACCAGGCTGGAATTTGACCTCGTTTCACTTTATTTGACCCGGAGATCATTACGTGGAACCCTTAAACTTTGATGTAGGCGAGTTCATGTACGGGGAAACACACTGTGAATTTGGTGCCTCTGGCTTTCTTAGTTCTTGAGATCCTAGGGGTGAAATCGACCCCCACTCGAGCAAAGGTATCCAACCGGCCACCCGTGAGCGGCGTAGACCCTCCTATAATATGGGCAACCCAAGGCCGATAGGGACGGCACCAGAGCGATCGAGAGTGCCGCGGCAAGCCTACAAAGGGGTTACCGTCAACGGCGTAGGCTCCTTAGAGCAAGCGAGAAGGACTCGATACCAATGTGATGGCGACCCTGAACTATCGGGAGCACTGCAGCAGGCAATCACATAGAGCCCGGCCAGAACACAGGACCTTTTGAACAAGGGAGAATAACCCAAGACCAGTGTACGTGAATTAATGCCCCTGTACGCTTAAGAATGCCCAGGCAGGTTAACAGAAAGGGCCCCGACAAGATTCAAGGGTCCTCCGCAGCTGAGCTCAAAGGGAAAGAGCCCTAGATCAAGGTTGAGGGTCCCTGATCATCAAGTTCCCTTGTGGCTTACCTAACATGGGCCCCAACAACAGCACAGGGCTGTCCGAGCAAGTGGAAAGAACTACCAGTACCAATACCCATACTAATATGAAGGTCCCTGAGCAAACGAGAGTACTCCAGAATACGGGGCTCCGACAACAACGTATAGAGCATTTTGGGCGGATGTGAAGAATCCATTGAGGACCCTTAACCGATTAAGGGTATCCATGCAATAAACAGATAGTAGGGCTCTACTATGGTGAGACCCTCCACTCGAATAGGAAGTTTCCAAGACCCAGTGTGGAGGGTCCCCGAACGATGGAGTGTGCTCGAATGGGTTGTCTGTTTGGGTCCCGTCGGAAGCATAGGGCCTTCCACAAGTGATAGGAAATTGGAACGACCCTAAGCCTAAGAGGCCCGAGTCGGCAAAAGACCGTATTCGAGGAGGCCTGAAGAGCCTGGAGTGCCCCGGGTAAGACGATCAAGGACCCGATTAGAGGGTCTAAGGGCAAGAAGTGCTGGTCGGAGTCGGATTCAGGGTCCCCGACTGCGGGGACGGACACTCAAATGACAGTCCAAGAGTCCGTTGCGTCGATCAGGGACCCCCTTTGGAAACATGGATCCATATATCGTCCCTGCACCACCAAGCTGCACAATCTGTCTCGTGTCGATATGGGGCTGAGGGCCCACTTCCCAACTACCTACAAAGTCGGGCCGGACCATACAGGGGACCAAAGATCATGGGCCCGGTTGGATCCGGGCCGGCCCCCATCTGTGGTGTTGTGACCTGAAACGGCAGCCAGAGGGCTTCTACAAGGGCCCTCTTATTAAGGTTTTCTATCCCTATCATATAAAGCCTCGACAAGGAGCCAAACAGTCGGCTCCATGTCCGTCTGAGCCCTTTGGACCCATTTCCCAAGCAGAAAGGAGGCCGGGGCCCGTGATTTGCAATGTTCGGGGTCACTGACATAAGAGGGCTCCTGTGTCGGCCAGGGGACACAGCGCTTAACAGAGGGAGTTATCAATTATTGGCGCTAAACCAGACAACTCTGGAAGCCCAGACCAACAGGCTTGCAGGGCCTTGAACTGATCAACACGTTGGAAAGGATTTTTTTCGGTAGGGCTTAGTAGGCAGACGCTCAGTAATCTACTGCTCGCGTCTCAATTTTACTAATATCATTATTTGAACATTGGCCAACTGTGGGTCCAGTCAGGCCAGGTAATTACTTGCAGTCTTACCTCGCGCCCGGGTGGCCGGTTGGATACCGTACCAGAACTCACTGAGGTCAAAGTTTAAGTTTCCTAGGTTATGACCTTCGGGCTAAGTAAGATCAAACAAGGTCAATCTCCGGGTAGGTCTGCAAAGTGCTCCCAAAACCTGGATACCTGTTCTAAGCAAAGGGTCACATGATCATTTAAGGTCAGTGACCTTGTCTGACCTTGACCGAAGATCACGGTGACCAAAATCATATATGACTGCTTTGAGGTTTGCATTTGAATCAGCGACAAAGATTATGCTAGGCAGAATGTTCCTAAAAACAAAACATTGAACTGGCTCGTTTCAGGTCAGTGACCTATCCTGACCTTTGAGAAGTGCATGCAATGTGTATAATGCGGTTCCTGTTATCAATACATTTGAAATGAGCACCAGAAACTACCTCAACATCAAGCCCTGGAGTAATGAAACCGATTTGTCTGGATCTTGGTATGACCTTCAAAATTGGCCTTGGGTCAATATAATTTTTCATTTAATTGTTTTGTTGCCTAAAAAAGTATCTCAGAAATGTATGGTCACGTCTCTCACACTCCTTGACACTCCGTTGTTGCATCATATTGAACGATTCCCGAGAAAATGACTTCGCAAAATACATGGTCTGACTTTGACCTGCCGTAGGTCAATGGCGTTACAAGGTGCATCTAAATTTGTGATATGAAACGATCTGCTATTTAAATGTCTATATCTATGCAAAATTTGGCGCGGCTGCGCCGCGTCTTTCGGAAACCATTTTGGAAAAACCTTTGGGGGAAGGCAGTTTGACCCCCAGCCGAGTGCGTGACAATGGTTGCGACGAAGGTATTGAAAAGAAGCCAAATGTCTTGATTGTATATTAGTCACGGGAAGTTATTTGCCGCCGCTTTGGTGTTGATTGGCCATTTTTTTTCTTGGTTTATGGCGCAGGGTTTTATAGCCCGGGAAGGGTTCGGGGAATGTGACATGGGGTGCTTACCGGGTGACTTCCATCTTCGGCCGGACGACGTTGAGATCACTGAAATATTTGCGGGCGGAACTTTCGCCAGCGCCGTGCAGCCGGCTTCACACCTTGATCTGCTCGAGTGGCGAGGACCTGATGTCAGCCTTGAAAATGCTCGAAAGTGGGCGAGCATGTCGTATGTGCTGTGGCGCGCGCGTGACCGACCGCACTTGTGTCGGTCCGGCTGCACCGACTGCACTTGTGTCGGTTCGGCTGCACCGACCGCACTTGTGTCGGTTCGGTTGGCGCCCCGTCCGCTGCCAAAATGTGCTGGTTCCATGCCTCGATGACACCAAGTCACCGAGTTATTTAGGGCAAGCTTATATCTGTTTTGTGCACGCTTTTCGTGTTTGGCGAAGTTTTCTCTTCTTTATTTATACGATACTGCCCCCATAGTGTGACCAACATCCGAGACCGGTCGGCCCAGCCTGATTTGTCGCCATGTTCTGGAGAACCACATCCGGTCTGCGGCCTGGCTCGCAGTCAAGAGCCATCGAAGACGCGTGGTGCTCTCAACAGCCGGAAGGGGACGGGGTTGTCGGGGGAGGGATGTTGTCTCCTGTCTGCCAATAAGGGAGCAAGAGTATGTTTTTGCCCCTCAAAATTTTGAGACGTCTCTTTTTTCCTCAAAACTGAAGGTTTTGCAAGTGTTTATATCTTACCAAAACTGAGATGAAGGAGGCACCATAACTGCCCAAAGTGGTGCTAGATTAGACTCAGAACACCCTTCTTTTTATCAAGAGACCCGTTGTATGGACCAGGAGGCCCTATTTGGCGTTAAAGAGGACCTTTGCCAGCTCGGCTAGCTGCCAGTATGGTCTAGGCGTTCCCTAGTCTGGAAGCCACTCTAGTCATGCCAGGGGCCTCTGCTCTAGACCAGACGGGCCCTCCATGCGTCAAAAGGCCGTTACTTCCAATCAGGATGGCCTGTTTTGGAGAAATGCGTTTGCCGGATTTGCAGGTCTCCTCTGCCAATCGGAAATATTTTGTTCTTAAAAATTAAGCTTCTCATCATCAGAAAGCCACTTTCTGGCCCAGGAAGTCCTGTCTTGAAATAGGGAGGCCCTTTGCTGGATAGATTTTCCTCTGTGTATATGAGAAGGCCCCGTTTGGGATTTTGTGCTTTCAACATTGATGATGCATGCAACAAAAATTGCATAAAGGGGAACATGCTCCAACCCTTGAACAAGATACAGCCAGCCCACGAGACTCCCTGTGTGGAGGCCCCATTTTGTCCAGAAGGCCCATTAGAGAAGTCTGCCCCTCCTTAAAATGAGAATCCGTGGCGCCTCTCTGACTTAATGATCTGTTCCCAACGCGAATGTGCGACTCTTGGGCAGTTGTTGTAAATGTTCAGCAGCGGCAAGCCCGCAAGCCGTAGCAATGCAAAGCACGGCATGCAGTGCTGCCAGAGAACGATACCTGAGAACGACACCATGGCATGCAGTGCTGCCAGAGAACGACACCGCACGTGAACCTCGACCCGCAATACAAGTCCCAACCATTGCCTTCACGCTTTCCACGGCGCAGTAAGGCACCCCGCGATCAGGGGCAGAGGTGCGTGGGTAGAGGTGTGAGGGAGTCGGCTCCCAAACGCCACGCCGCGTGTCACCGCGCGTGAGGGGGGTGAGGGGACGGGGCTGGCCCTGTCAGGGTCTGGCCGCCGGGGAAGGGGGCGGACGTCGGCTGTCGAACAGTGTCAGGCGGCGGCCACGGCAGGCCTGCAGTCGAGTCGAGGCTCGCCGACCGACGGGCTGTCTCCTCCTCGCCTCATCTTGCCGTCATGCTCACCGCCTACGCCACGCTCCTGGCCTGTGTGGCCGCCGTCGGCGCAGGTACGACGCTGGCGTCTGGGACAAGGCCGGCCCGGCCGCGAGACGACGCACGGCTCACGCCGCGCTTCCAGAGCAGCAGTGGCCCCTGATCACCTCTGATAACGTGGTCCCCTGACTTCTCGATCGTCTCCCTTCCATGTCAGCGTGGCTGGAGCACGCGGAGGCCGATTTTACCCAATTATGGCTTGGTTCCGTGCATTGGACACGAGATCTGACCAATGGAGCATAAAAATCGATCACTGTGGATGTTTCAGCCGAGAATTTGGTAGGGGTGTTCTGTTGTCCCCGTGCCTTGATTTTGAAATACCAATCGCACGTGTGTTATGTCGTCTCCATGCCCCGATTGTGAAGTACTAACCGTGCAGCCGCATTTTTTTATCGAGGTTCCTGTTCCCAGTTCAAGGTTCCCACTTTTGTGCATTTGGGGTCAGATTTAGCACTTTTCACCAGTTCAATCTACCGACCTATTTTGCGATGCTGCGTCCTGACAGGTACTGCGAATGCGGATCTTAACATCGCGAAATTAAATCCCAGACTTCAACATGTTTGGTGCCTTACTCTACCACTGAACTAATGAAGATCACCCATGCAATTTCAGCACGTCTCTGCTGGTGTAGATGGTCGCATCCATTACAAATATGGCTTTTTCAGGCATGTTTCGTCTTATCATCAAGAATACTAATGCATGCGTTGTGTTTTACCCGAGCTCTGGGTGCGAAGAACCGTTCTGCGCAGATGCATTGCAGGTAGTTGTGGCCGACCCTCTAACAGACTCTTAAAATGTGTATCCCACAGCTGGGAATCAAACTACTGACCATTGGATGACTAGTTCAGTGGTCTAGTGTTTTGCTATCAGAAGGTCCAATGGTTCAATATTTCTCTGTGCCATGAACGTCCGTGCACTAACGAAAATCCCGGTCCAAAATTAACCGGCCTTGGATGTAGGTCTGAGCTGATGGGATGCCCCGGAGAGCGAACCGCTTTAAGTTACCCAGGTGTCCCAAAACTTCTGCACCATACCATCGCACCATACTGCTCTATGTCCTGCTGAAAAATAAAGTTACGGAAGATAAAACCTAAACTGGATCTCGGTTCAAGCAAGGATGGCCTTAAACAAATTTTGATCAATGATTGAAAGTTGCTTCGAGGGATTGACTGGGACCTAGAATACTGCTTTAGGAACACGCTAGGGCATGTGATCGTCCCACACCAAAAACTGATGTGTTGATCTCCATTCCTGAGGTTAAGCAGGAAAAATAACACAGGAGTAAATATGTCCGATGGAATCATCAATGTTGTAAATCAAGTTATGAAATACATTCTGTTCGGGGAAGTAGAGCGCCAGCCAGATGCTAAATATAATCAGTTTGGCTTTACATAGGCTCAATGTATGTATGCCTGAAAACAGCTGGCACAACATTATCGCGTTTTAAATAACATTGTTATCGCATGCCATACTCCCCACTCACACTGCATGCAACCAAAACAACTAGCCATAAATTGCCTTTGGAATAGCTCCACATACGGAGAGTCGTTTATTTCCAAGGCATATCTCCTGATCTTGATCTTTGAAGAAAAGGCATGTCGCACTAAACCTCCCATTAGCTGCTTTGTTATAAGTATATTTTTTAAAGGATTTGATTTGAACGTTTTGGAATGGATGTAATTCTGTGATCAACGCTCACGCTGAACAGTGCCCGTTGTGTGAGCCATGACCCCACCATCTGATCGCGCCATTCCATGTCAACAGCAATATTTGGTAGCGAAAGTTTAGCGTGTCAAAGCTCGGCACGGCCCGTCCTACTCTCTGACGTCCCCTGACCTTTCGCGCGGCCGATGCCACTGGCCGTAGGCCATACCTGTCAAGGCCATATCGCGAGTGCCTGAATCGACTCGAACCCGCCTCGCCACGGTTGGGTCGATGGGAAGGAAAGCTCTAACCAACCGAGCCATCAGGACGAACGGACTTTTTGGCAAATAATTGATTCATGTTGGTTATCTCATAACGCTGCCTCCACGTGCCTCTTGTCTCACGAAGCCATTAGGAGCTGCTAAACAAATATGACCCTGAAAATTAAGCACCTCGCGGCAGTGATATCATAATTCGGTCTCTGCTTAAAAATGGCTCATCTGCCCAAATGGCATCTCCGCTTCCTTGTCAGATCTTCAAACCTCGAGCGAGACCCGTGTCTTACACTCTTGGGACATGCAACCTCCACGCCGTCTGTTGGTTTCCGTTCCGCTCCTACACGGCCGCCCCGTCCACTGTCTGCAGCCCGGGAGTCTTTCGCCGTCGGACGATTAGCTTCGCTCCACCTCTCACTCACTCTCGCGGTTTCCTCGTGGGTCCTCTAAGTCTCTTCTTCACCCTGCCACCTTGCCGTTTGCGCCAGTTCCACCGCCGCAGCGGCCACAGCCCCGGCCCCACCTCTCACCGCCGCAGCGGCCACAGCCCCGGCCCCACCTCTCAACGTCGCAGCCGCCGCAGCCCCGGCCCCACCTCTCACCGCCGCAGCGGCCACAGCCCCGGCCCCACCTCTCACCGCCGCAGCGGCCACAGCCCCGGCCCCACGTCTCACCGCCGCAGCGGCCACAGCCCCGGCCCCGCCTCTCACCGCCGCAGCGGCCACAGCCCCGGCCCCACCTCTCACCGCCGCAGGGGCCACAGCCCCGGCCCCACCTCTCACCGTTGCAGCGGCCACAGCCCCGGCCCCGCCTCTCACCGCCGCAGCGGCCACAGCCCCGGCCCCACCTCTCACCGTCGCAGCGGCCACAGCCCCGGCCCCACCTCTCACCGCGCCGGCCACAGCCCCGGCCCCACCTCTCACCGCCGCAGCGCCACAGCCCCGGCCCCACCTCTCACCGCCGCAGCGGCCACAGCCCCGGCCCCACCTCTCACCGCCGCAGCGGCCACAGCCCCGGCCCCACCTCTCACCGCCGCAGCGGCCACAGCCCCGGCCCCACCTCTCACCGTCGCAGCGCCACAGCCCCGGCCCCACCTCTCACCGCCGCAGCGGCCACAGCCCCGGCCCCACCTCTCACCGCCGCAGCCGCCACAGCCCCGGCCCCACCTCTCACCGCCGCAGCCGCCACAGCCCCGGCCCCCCTCTCACCGCCGCAGCCGCCACAGCCCCGGCCCCACCTCTCACCCCGCGCAGCCACACCCCCGGCCCCACCTCTCACCGGCAGCCGCCACAGCCCCGGCCCCCCTCTCACCCGCAGCGCCACAGCCCCGGCCCCACTCTCACCGCGCAGCCGCCACAGCCCCGGCCCCACCTCTCACCGCCGCAGCCGCCACAGCCCCGGCCCCACCTCTCACCGCCGCAGCCGCCAGCCCCGGCCCCACCTCACCACCGCAGCCGCCACAGCCCCGGCCCCACCTCTCACCGCAGCCCCACAGCCCCGGCCCCACCTCTCACCGCCGCAGCCGCCACAGCCCCGGCCCCACCTCTCACCGCCGCAGCGCCGCACAGCCCGGCCCCACCTCACCGCCGCAGCCGCCACAGCCCCGGCCCCACCTCTCACCGTTGCAGCCGCCGCAGCCCCGGCCCCACGTCTCACCGCCGCAGCGGCCACAGCCCCGGCCCCACCTCTCACCGTTGCAGCCGCCGCAGCCCCGGCCCCACGTCTCACCGCCGCAGCGGCCACAGTCCCGGCCCCACCTCTCACCGCAGCCGCCACAGCCCCGGCCCCACGTCTCACCGCCGCAGCGGCCACAGCCCCGGCCCCACCTCTCACCGTTGCAGCCGCCGCAGCCCCGGCCCCACGTCTCACCGCCGCAGCGGCCACAGCCCCGGCCCCGCCTCTCACCGTCGCAGCCGCCGCAGCCCCGGCCCCACCTCTCACCGTCGCAGCGGCCACAGCCCGGCCCCACCTCACCGCCGCAGCCGCCACAGCCCCGGCCCCACCTCTCACTCTCACCGCGCAGCGGCCACAGCCCCGGCCCCACCTCTCACCGTCGCAGCCGCCACAGCCCCGGCCCCACCTCTCACCGTCGCAGCCGCCACAGCCCCGGCCCCACCTCTCACCGTCGCAGCGGCCACAGCCCCGGCCCCACCTCTCACCGCCGCAGCGGCCACAGCCCCGGCCCCACCTCTCACCGTCGCAGCGGCCACAGCCCCGGCCCCACCTCTCACCGTCTCAGCCGTCACAGCCCCGGCCCCGCCCCTCAACATCGCAGCCACCTCAGCCCCGCCCCGTTTCTCACTCGCACTCCCACCACAGCACCGGCTCCGCCTTTCACCGTCGTGGCCGCTGCAGCCCGGTCCGCTTCTCACCCGCACCTCCCAACACAGCACCGGCTCTGCCTTTCACCGTCGTAGCCGCTACAGCCCCGGTCCGCTTCTCACCCGCACCTCCCAACACAGCACCGGCTCTGCCTCTCACCGTCGTAGCCGCTGCAGCCCGGTCCGCTTCTCACCCGCACCTCCCAACACAGCACCGGCTCCGCCTCTCACCGTCTCATCCGCCACAGCCCTGATCCGCTTCTAACCCGCACCTCCCAACACAGGACCGGCTCCGCCTTTCACCGTCTCATCCGCCACAGCCCCGGTCCGCTTCTAACCCGCACCTCCCAACACAGCACCGGCTCTGCTTTCCACCGTCGTAGCCGCTGCAGCCCGGTCCGCTTCTCACCCGCACCTCCCATCACAGCACCGGCTCCGCCTCTCACCGTCTCATTCGCCACAGCCCCGGTCTGCTTCTCACACGCACCTCCGCCGCATCTCCGGCTCCGCCTCTCACCGTCTCATCCGCCACAGCCCCGGTCCGCTTCTCACCCGCACCTCCGCCGCAGCTCCGGCCCCGCTGTCGCTACCGCCACCGCTGGTGGCGCCTACTCTGCCGCCCTGCAATCTCTCGGTGACGGCCGCGGTGACGCAGAACGGCAAGACAGCGGGCAAGGCCTCGGCCTCGACCTCAGGCAGTGCCAGCGGCTCATCTAGCTCCGGGTGCTCGCTCCAGTTGCCCACCGGCGGCACCAGCACCCAGGGCGCCGTCAACGCCGGGGTCAAGAGCTCAAGTGCCTCCAGTGGCGACGGCGCGCACGCGTCCAACATCACCTCGTCCTCGCGTGAGTGCGCAAGGATGAGCATCGCGTGTGGTGGCGTGGAGCGCTGGGCTTCAGAAGGCAGTTGATAAATGTTGTGGTGTTTTTGAGGTGAGTGAATTCTTTATTGAGCAAACAAGCGATCATCTAGAACATTTCATCAATTTCAGTCTGTTTTTAATTTGAGTTTTCGGACTTTTGTCAGCTCTTCCCTGAAATGATTCCCTCATTTACCCCCTCATTCCTAACCCAAACTTTTGTGCAGCACTCCTACGTCCTCATGTCAGGGTTATTCAGCGCCCCTCCCCCCGATTCAAGCCCATCCTAGCGCCCTTTTGTTCGGATCTGGTCACTGCTCTGGTGCCCCTCCATCCTGACCTGAGCCCCCCTGGCGCCCTCTCCCCCCTGACACCACCCTCCCGCCAAACAAGCTGACCCAGGTCTCCCATGCCGCAGAGGTGATCAACACTCCAACTGGTCAGACCTCCAAAACCAGCACCTCGGGCGCGGGCGCGACCTCAGGCTCGGCCGGCACCTCTGGCCAGGCCGGGGCGAACGCAGCCGGCACATTTAAAACCGACCTCCGCCTGCCGGAATTTCCCGGCTTCCCCAGCAGCAAGAAGGAAGGCGCTACCAGGAGCCACTCGAACATCCACGTCTCGGGCAGCAATTCCAGCTTGTTCGAGATCAACCAGAGCGCCAACAACACACTCGTCCTGCCGCCACCGCTTTGATGGAGGATCTCTCACCTCCGGCTCACTGGAGCGAGAATCTCTCGCCTCCAGCTCACTGGAGCGAGAATCTCTCACCTCCGGCTCACTGGATCGAGAACCTCTCACCTCCGGCTCATTGGATCGAGAATCTCCCACCTCCGACTCATCAAATTGAGGATCTCTTACCTCCGGCTCACTGGATCGACCGGTCTCGTGCTTTTCATGGGCCACCGGCACGCCGGTGCCCTGCTCTTCCCAATGCGCCGATGTCTTGCTCTTCCCAATGGTCAACGCTGCGCCGGCGTCTTGCTCTTCCCAATGGTCACCGCTGCGCCGGTGTCTTGCTCTTCCCAATGGTCAACGCCGCGCTCGTTTACGCTCGAAATTCTGGGACCGCTGGAAAATGGCGACAGGGATCGCCTTTTCATTCGGCTTTTATGCTCCTGGAAGTTTGCGCAGGTCTCAGGCTTGTGAATTCAGCACTCTGTTGCGTCCATACCGTTGCTGTCACTGCACTGTCACACACCGTACCGTCACCGTTACCGTGTGCTGTCGCCGACCAGACCGTTTTAACGTCGCCATTCGTACATACGTTTCCATATCCAGTTGTCTGCGGCTCTGTCTGCATCTTCTTCCCCGTCCAAGAGTTTTCGTGCACGATTTCGCATATCCTTTCCCATTCACAAATGGAGACCTTGATCGGCTCCCTGTTTCGTCCTGCATTCGCTATTCCGGACAGCACTTATCTGTGTACTTGCTATAACGCTGACATGTGCACTTCCTCAGGCTTTTTTCGTTTCACAATGAACCATTTCGGCATTGCGTTCCGGGCAAACCATTTTGTTTCCGGGCGCTTCGGCCCTGGCGTTGCACATGTCGGAGGCTGTCGCGTGTTAAAATATACGCACCAGTTGGAGCCAGTGTTCGTTTTCTTTTTCGTGTTCAGTGCACGGCGCTTTTGTTTAATACTGTATGAATTTCAAGATATAAAGGCGTTGCTCGGAAGGGGTGGAATCCATTTCCCGATGGCGCATTATGTGGAATCTATGGCTCATACGCGAATGCGACGGAAGCTCGCGTAAAATGGCACGTTGTGTGGAAACACACTACTCAGAAGCGAAAGGATTCAAAATAACGATTTTAATACAAAACTTTGATTTGCATAAATTAGGGCATATGGACAACAGAGGAGATTAATGTAACCAACCATTTTACTCCTGTTGAGAGCTTTACGCGCTGCTGAGCACCTGGCCTAAGGCGGTCGCGGTGTCACGTGACCGGGCCCGCCTGGTCTCGGAGCAGGTCAAGGGTCAGTGTCCGATGCAGTCTGACCAGCAGAGGTCATGGGGGCGCGGGAGAAGGCTGTGGCCACCATCTGTGGTATTCTGCTTCTGTCGGCAGCCTCCGTCGTCGCCGCGCCCGATGACTGCCCCAGGTGCAGCAAAGAACGTAAGTGGACGTTTCCCCTCATGCACTGCATTTGTCTGTTCGGTGGTTGATTCTGCTTGCCACGTCCAAATGCAATCCAAGTGTGTGATGGTCGTGTAACTCCCCCTACGACACGGTGCACTGCTATCGTTGCGTTCAACATTCCACTTAATTGTTGTGAACTGGAGACTATATTCTCATGATGCTATGACCTTCATACAACCAAGTTTATGCATGTTGGCTGGATACAGGCAGTCGTGTCTTGCAACCGAACGAATCGCGCAGTTTACACCAGCCTTAAGCCGACGCAGCTGTCGGCTGTTCATTGCGAGTACATGGGTGGCCAAACACGGCTCCCGCCCTGGCTGGTCGCAGCCGCGTACATCCCTCGCCGTTGCTCGCGTGTGACGGCGCCCCGGCCGGTGACGCCTCCACCGTTCGCCAGCGGACCGCCGACGTCTCGCCTGTACTGTTCAGCCCCGGCTGCGGGCTGACGTGGGTGATCGACTGCGCCGCCGACCTGCCCGGCCGCTGCGGTCACGAGCGCCGCTGCCCGGCCGACACCACGTGCTGCCCCACGGTCAACTGCCCGGCTGTGGGCGTGTGCCGTGGCGCGGGCAGCAGGGAGGCGCTCTCGGCGCGCTCCCTGTACGCGGCGCCGCTCTGCCTGTCGGGCGCCGCCTGCCACGAACTGGGCGCCTGCCCGGCCGACGCCGCCTGCCATCCCGCCTGCCAGCCGACGGAGGCGTGCTTGCTGCACCGGGACGAGCCGGCGCCGCGCTGCTTCCAAGCCGCCCACCTGTGTCGCCTGTACGGCGCGTGCGACGGCACGCCCTGCCCCCAGCCCACCGCCGCCGTCGCGGTGAGCATGCAGTGTCCCGAGGCGGGCGTCGTGTGCAACGTGGTCGACGGACCGCCCGTCTGTCGCCGCAACGACTGCCGCGGCGGCCTGGCCTGTTACGTCTCGGCGCTGCTGGGACGGGAGTGCATCGACTTCGCTCCGTGCAGTCGCACGAGCTGCCCGGCCGGCCTGACGTGCCGTGAGCAGCAGCCGTTCTGCCTCCGCGCGCCCTGTCCACCAGTGGCCGTGTGCAGCCCCGGCGGTCAGCAGGAGCCGATGTTCCCTTGCCGCCGCATGACCTGCCCGTCCGGACTGCGCTGCACGCTGGCCGCCGGCGCTGCTGGCCAGCCCGCCGCCCTCTGTGTGCCTGAGGCAGAGCCGTGTGTACCCGCTGAAGCATGACTTGCAGTCCCGCCTGACTCCGATCGCTTCAATATCCAGGCACCTGAGTGTTCGCGGTTTTTCGGCGAACGCGTCTCTCCATGTTCGGGAGTGAAAGAACTGGGATGCGACATTGGTTTCACCGAATGTAATGCCCGAAATTTGCTGAGTGGCCATGACAGAAAATTTGTTTTCCATATGACCTAGAGATCATGTGGCAAACAACGTCAAGAGATCTCGAAGAGCTGCAAGATAGTTATGTTTCGTATGCGTCTTGCAGCCCACGCCCAGTGCAGCTCTAGCTTGATGGCTTCTTCCCAAGTGAAGTACCATCAGCAACTTTTGATGTTCTTTTGAACAAAAATAAAGACCGTTTATAACCAAAGGCGTAATGATGTGAAAACGTTGGATCGCGAAAAGCAGAAAGCGTTATGATGTAAAGACCGGAGCATAGCATGATATTTCCGAATCTCAACCGACCATAGGGGTTGGCTATAGAGGTCCGTAGGGCAATTTATAATTCATAGCAGCTAACATGCCCTCTCGGCGTAGAAGGTGCAAACAACCCAACATGACTCAGCTGAAAAACGCCACGCAAAAGCCCGCTTTCAGTCGTGTGTTCTTAGATGGCACTTTGTCCTTCAACAGACCCACCGACAACTGCATGCCCCGATATCAAGTGGCCCCGTTATGTGCTCTGCACCATATGATGGGCGGCGGCCTCGGGATAAAACCATGCAAGTCCTGCAACGTCGGGCTTCATGCCGTATCATGGTTATGCCGGTGTGCATTTCATTGCTGTAGTTAATGCCGGCGGCGTTCCAAAATCATTCAGTTCGATGGGCAGGAGGTCGATATAAACTCATGTTACCAGAATTCCGGCTCTCCTGCGAACTGTGCACGCACAGTTCGTTGGCTGCTGATCGGTTGCCTTTTGATCCCGAACCTTGACGCTTGACTTGCCTGGCCGATTGGCCACGCACAAGGCGCCCAGATGGTGGCTTGACCGCCAACCTACTCGACGCTGATTGGCCAGTTCGAGCAAGGAGAAGAGCAACAGGCAGTGAACCCCAAGCCGGGGGCGCGGTAGCGTGAAAGAAATGCCGCGGCCTTGCCACCCAGAGGACAAAATATCGAAACATTCCGGCGAATATTACCTTCCTGCAGGCTAAATCACAATTCTTACAACTACATAGCGAGCGTGGAATGTAGCTAATGGCGTGTTCCAAATGGCATCGTGGTTGCCATGATGGGCACACAGTTGACACGGGTCCGCTGATGGCGAAAGATGAAGAACAAAAAAGGGTGAAAAGTAAACAAAACCTAAGAAACATAGGATTTAGCTCCCTTGATTTCAAGAAACCAGGTTTTCTTCTTTTTGTTATTATATTTCACTACTTTAACTGGAACACAAAACGGAGAAGCTATCGAAAAAATCCGTTCTCTTTGTATTTTGAACGAAATAAACTTGAGGAGGCGGGCGTTAAACGAACGCATGAGTGTTGCTGTAATTGCTGACCTCTTCAGAAGCAAATCTCCAGTCGTAAAGGAAAAACACACGCCCCAGGCTAATCTTTGAGTGGTTTGAGTTGACTTTGAATGGCTTTCGGAAGCATCATTTCGCGACGGCCTTGCTCCTGCGCCCGACCTCGCCGCCTGATGCTGTCCGCAGCGGGCAGCGTCGCTCGGCTCTACGGGAACCGCAACCCCGGCCAGCCTTCTTCTTGGTCTTAATTTTCCTACCACGCAGGCTCAAAATTTGCGCGTTATCTGTTTACCAAGTCTATCTCGCACTGGATGGACGTTTTCAGGCCAACATAGGCTGTCATTTTCTTTTATTTATGGCCTCATTTTGATCCACTCTACTGAACACTAATGACATTGACACTAATAGAACCCCTTTTTACTGGGCAAGGGGCTCCGTGTGCCAAACACTGTCGGCACATTTTCGTTCTCGGCCAAGGGCTGAGGGGCCATTCTATCTGAGCGCGGGGTGCCTACAGGCTGCCATTCTAGTGACACGGGGGTGGGGTCCACTGGTCGATCCGGAAGCCCCTAGAGGCATGCATCGTACATTGGTCTCTTCCCTGACGCAGGAGGCCCTCTGACACGGGCATTTGGCCCCAGATCGATGCAGTAGCCCTCATTGACGCACCAAGATTTATTATCGCCGCAGGTGTCCAATAATTGACAGGGAGACTCCACTTCAGCTCGACAGACTCTTAGCTGCAATGGGGTAGAGGACCTCCTGTTCCTTCATTATCACTTCATTGTCGACCAACGCAAGAGCCCATCTGGCATTCGGGGCCCAGTGCCTTCCGTGTTCAGCAAATGTTCTCCTGACCGACCCGGGACCCTTCGCCGACGCAAGATCCCCTGTTTGGCACGATCGGCCCCTAAATAACACAGGGGCCCTTAAATGTTGCAGGAGCCGAAACCAATGATAACCGCGGGCAAAGACATCGTCTCTGCTTTGGAATTGGCCCCTAGGGCTCATACCGACACGGAGCCTGCTGGGTTTGTTAACCAGAGCAAGGGTCCCTCTGACTGGCATCTGAGGTCACAGCCCTACGGGCCGGGACCCTTAACATGACCTGCAGCCAACCCTTCGGATCCATCGGGACTTTAACCTTCCAATCGGTCCCTGACCGCCGGTCCTGAAGAGTCCGTCGGGACTTTAACCTTCCAATCGATCCCTGACCGCCGGTCCTGAAGAGTCCATCGGAACTTTAACTTTCCAATCGGTCCCTGACAGCCGGTCTTGAAGAGTCCATCGGTACTTTAACCCTCCAATCGATCCTTGACCGCCGGTCCTGAAGAGTCCATCGGGACTTTAACCTTCCAATCGGTCCCTGACCGCCGGTCCTGAAGAGTCCATCGGTACTTTAACCCTCCAATCGATCCTTGACCGCCGGTCCTGAAGAGTCCATCGGGACTTTAACCTTCCAATCGGTCCCTGACCGCCGGTCCTGAAGAGTCCATCGGAACTTTAACTTTCCAATCGGTCCCTGACAGCCGGTCTTGAAGAGTCCATCGGTACTTTAACCCTCCAATCGATCCTTGACCGCCGGTCCTGAAGAGTCCATCGGGCCACTCTTCGGCCCCCCTCGAACAGTGTCCCTGGTCATCACGGGCCCCTTGCCAACACGGGACCCTGTGTCAGGTACTGTGGGCCATTGGCCGACACAGGGGCCTTTTATGAGTCGCATAAGTGGGGGGCTCCGACCAATGTCAATCGCAGGGTCCAGTCTCGCCGCAGTTTGGGAAGTGAACCCTTAGCCTACACAGACACAGAGCTGACTGTTTGGTACCGATGGTGTCTGCCTGACATGGAGGTCCTCATCAGCTCAGGAGGCCCCAGTCGGCGCAAAGGCCTCTGGCTGGCATTTGAGGGCCCAGCCAACAGGGCGGGACTCTCAAATGTGCCCCCTGTGTCCCCTCCCCACCTGCGCCACTGTTGCCATGTTTGGCAGTTTTGATGTGTTTCGATGCATTTGTGGCTGCCAAACGGTTATTGCTGGCCTTTGCGCTAAACCATGAGCTTCGACAAAACATTCAATTGGCACAGTCGTACTCGTTGTTGTTGTTGATTATAGTTTTAGGGCGCGCCGAATACTTTGGTCATTTTACGCCCATAACAGCTAAATGACTACCTATGAGGGTAAATGGCTAAACAATATATGTTGGTGAGGAATGAAAACGGTTGAATCGTGACAGGAACGCGTCACCAATGATGTCCGATTAAGTGAACCCATAACAGCATGTTGATAACAAATTTTCGGCAGCCCAAAAACTTCCTACACGCGCTATGAACTATTCGGGCAGGTGTCTATAAAGTGCAGAACTTAACATGCTATACAAGCGAGAGGGTATGTCCGATGTATGGTGAGCTGTCACATAGTAAATCGGAGAGCGTCAGAGACGACGACGCCGGGCTAAAGTACCTCAGACGCTCGACGCATAGTATGGGCAGGGAGCTAGAATTGCTTTTGAACTAGGGTGGGAGTGAAAATTCCATCGCAAAAGGACCGTGCAGGAGTGAAAAATCAATTCACAGTAGATGGAGCTTATGAGCTCGTGACTGACGCTTCAGCAAACAAAGGCGTCTATTTCGAGTTGGCATGGACGTATTATTATACACCTGACAAACCTTTTGGTTAACATATTAGGCCGTTAAAGTGAAACAGAATACATTAAAGCATGACAGTGTTATGAGCATAAATAATTATTAACACCAATAGTTTGATGCTGTACTTTGCACTTCACTTTCACAGCACTTTAACACAAAACAAAGCAAAGGGATTCAATAACAAAATAACAGAAAATTCAACAAGCATAAAGCACTCAAACGAAAAAACCTTAGACTCCTACACATCAGAGCATCATCAAGTCAAACACAATATACGTACCTTTGGTTTTTGTTAAGATGGGGTCAGGGAAAACAAACATTTTGCCACTGTTTCTTACGAAATACCAATGCTTATTCCATGAAAGTAGCCTAACTTTGCCTAACGTAAAGAGGCCTTACTTCATATCATCCTGTCTAACCTGCTTGTATCACAGCAGCAGCTGTGAGTTACTGATTCTTGCACAATTCCTATTGTCACTTGTCATGCACTTGACCAACTTAACCTAACTTAGAGTAGCTCATATGTTGTACATCATCTCAACTCACCGATCTGTTGACAGCAGCACTTGTGATAAAAACATGACACAGCTAATCTTTGGCTGGTTTCAACTTGCATTTTTGTTCAGCTCATTTGTGTATGCTTGTTGACATCAGACAACGTTGACAACACACAAATCAAAATACTTGAAATTACTTTGAACAACTTACTTTGATTGCCATGGTTAACCTATGTTAAGGACAATAATGGGTATGCTCCACAAAACGGTCTCTCTTCTCCGAAAGTAACATAACCTTTAGATGACCATGCCAGTATTGCTGTTTGCCTTTTCAGCTACAGCAAAGGCATCTATTTAGACTTGTTTATTCATATTTAATTACAAAGTTTGAGATGTTGGGTTCACAGTTTAAATGGAATGGTCTGACTATTTGCTATATACTAATATTCAACCCATATTATAATTGCTATGCAGCTTAGAGTTTCCCTGTGTTAAGAATATAGTGCATATATACAGAACAGTCATTTGCCCGCCAGCAAACCATGACAACTATAAAAAAAACATCTGGTTACAGAATCATGAGGGACCACTTCAAGAAATTTGGGGGCAAGTAATCAAGAATATGGAACATAGTAAGCCCATTGCATGACTTGTGGCATCATAATTTGTCTTACGACAAAACTCGATCGATTGAAACAGAAAATGGCTAACTCTGGTTACCATTCATGTGTTGAAAGCAGGTAAGGTAAGCAATTGCTTGATTCACAGGAGGCTTACTGGCTTCCTTCTGCTCCCCCAAGACGAAAAGTCAATACCTTTTGCATGGTCTGCTGGCAGACAGAGTCATCCCACTCACCCCCAAATATAAATATCAATCATGTCCACCAACCCACGAGATTAAAATGCGAAACAAGTAAGACGTGTGCATGATAAATATCCCCAGGGGGCTTTAGCCATCAAACACTTCTGTATTAATTGCGTCAGGTCTGTCCCAAAGCTCTGTATGGCAGCATTAGGATTGCATTGTCAGGTAGCCTGGTGAGTTAGACTCTCGAAAAGCTTAGATTTATCATTATTGAGCACCGCCATGAACCAAGACAACGGTTAAACGAGGGTTTCACAAGGTAAAAAAGCCAGTAAAAATAAGTTTCGTGCTTCAAGTTGTCTCCTTTATTCCCCGTGAATTATTCACTCTTGGGTGCATATCAAATATGTTTGGGCGGCTGCCGAATTAATCCAATTTATGTATGAAATACGTGCAAGTTTGCAGTTGGAGAATCTTGCAGAGAAATTGGTTAACATTTTAAGCAACAGATGGCACCTCTAAAGGCAGTCCAAGAGAAAGGAAGAATAAAGTGGTATCACACTCGTATGATACCACGAAAAATAGAAGTAGTCAGATAATCATAACGACCGATACTTTCTGGCAAAATTTTGTTGTCAGCTGAGTTGACTTAAAATCCGTTAACATAAGTGCTCAAATGGTGATATTCACCATGTAAATTTAAATTGGAAGACATTTCTTGAATCCTTCACTCCTGCATTTTAGGAGTGATGCAATTTAGTGGTCAGGTTTCCTCGGGGAAAAAGAAACACGTGGGGTAAAATTCTCTACCAGGTCTTGCTGGTGTTCAAACCAGGCCCTACTTTTGTGGTGGTGAGAAGAAAAAATAGGGGACGCGTGAAAACCTTGCATTTGGCACACAGCTGCCGATTGTAATGCATTTTGTAAACAAGCCAAACTTAATGCGTGCAAGCGGCTGGAGTCACTAGGGTTCTTGGGCTAGGAGGTACCTGGCGCCCTTGCTCTGCGCATACATAGACATGATTCAGATGAAGATGAGGCAGGACATAGCCATAGGTGTCCAGGTTCTGTGGAGCCTCGTTTATGCTTGGTGGTTTCAAGTTAGCTGGGTTTTGGACGACATCTGAAAAACTCAGAAAGGGAAATAGGGGTTTGGCATGTGCGATTAGACAATGTCAGACGGGAGCGAAAAATTCATATAAAATATGGGGAAAAGGAGAGAAAAATTCCTCCTCGTAGGGTGTTGCTTTACACCCAAAGTCGGCAATTCTAGGACACTGAGTATGGGACAGCACACGAGCACGTGTTCCACGGTGAGCGTGGCGTTGCAGTGGCGACACCGTGGTAGTTCGTCTCGACATAGTGGGTATCGGTGTGTAGTATAAACATAGCCAATCCGCAAGCGACACAGGATAACTTTCTCCCGTCTGGACTTTTGATAGGATGACTGCCATTCCTGAACAAACGGCTGAATGCTTTCCAGTTCACTGGTGCCCATCGCATCCCTCGTGCTCTGCCATTCCCCGCGCAAAAAAGGGTAGAGATGGCTGAGTATAGGTCTGTTGCGGGTATTGGAAACGCTCTGCGACAGAGACGAAGAGTAGCACGCTTTGCGGCAACGTCAGCCAGCTCATTTCCCGCAATGCCAACGTGGCTCGGAATCCAGCAAAATACTTTGGTCTTGCCAGCCCGGTAAAGAGTGTTGAGACGCAGTAAAATATCCTGTATAAGGGGATTTACCGGATTAAAACGTCTTAATGCTGAGAAGGCACTTAGGGAATCCGGCAAAATCACGTGCACGCTGTCTTCGACCACCTCTATAAAGCAAAGCGCCTTAATGATGGCCACACGCCATGCATTGTACACGGACGCATGGGCTGGCAGTGTAAATGATCGCGTACTGGGGCCAGTTGTTGTTATAAGGTACATCACGTCAGCAATTTACAGCATGCGTGATGCATAAGTGCTCTTTAGTTGAACTGAAGTTAATGATATGTATAGATGAGCTCAGGACTGATATCGAGCACACATTGTGAATTCAGTTTAATTGTGACCTTTGTCTTTTGTGACGGAATGAATCTAACCGTATTTTCCATACTATTAAACATTTACGTTGTTTCAGAGATCTAACCTTCAATGCCTTTTCGACCACCTTAGATTTATCGATGCCTTTTATTTGCCGTAGATTTTCATCCGACCTTTTTGTAAAACTTTCCCCTTGAAATTCATATTCAGCGAGTGGAATGCAGCTCCTTGCACACCTTGCTTACCTCTTCTTCTAACTCTACCTCTTCTTGCCCATACCTACCTCTACATCTACCCACTTGCGTTATCTCTGCTTTCGCTTGCATTTTCAATGAGATTTAGACATCAGAAACTGCTGCCTGGCCTGGATGTAAACGTGGACATCAGAGAAAAGCCGTCAGGTGGTGAAAGATGGTCCTCTGTATGCTAGATAAGTTTGTCATATGAAAATGATTGAGAATGATCATAAGCAGTGTCCTACTTAACCTGATGAGGGGCACGGGATGATCTGAATTGAACTGGAAGTCAAAGCGTGACTTTAAGCAAAACGACACCAGTCATTAAATATGGTTTATTATATTCTCCATACGATAGGTGACATGACCTGAGGGTCCAAGTCGGACATTGAGACAAAAACATCCGGCGGTGAAATGGAGATCGCATGCTCCACGCAACCATGCTGGGAGTGTTGAACGTTGGTTTTTAGACTTGTTGGATTATGTGATGCCACAAAACCTAACAGGAGCTCGCGTTCAAAACGTGACCTCTCGCAAAATCGCTCCAAATGTTTATCATTTCCGTGCCGGAATGAAGCCCTAATAGGAAACCATTTTCTTCGGAGCTGTTCTGGCAGCTATCGTGCCGAGTGACGGGCGGGGCACGTCCTCGACCCCTGACCCCCCGCGCGCCCCGCACCGGTGGCGGTGACATCAGACGGACGCCGGCGGCCCGCCCGGCCGCCTGACGTCACCGGGGAGACCACCTTGAGACCTGCCACCACCTGATGCCACCGGGCCGGGGGATCCCGGCGCACGGGCTGGCGCTGGCGTTGCTCGCACAGACACCGCCGCGAAACCACCGATGATTTGACGGACGTACGGAAGGGGAACACCCGCTGGTTCATGTATATCTTGACATAGACACAATTTGTTGGGGGGGGGGGGGGGGGGGGCTGTTGAGACTGTGAGCGCCCAGCCAGTCAGACAAGAGTATTGCTACCTTTAATTTTTTCATATAGAACACATCGGGCCATAAATCAGCGCCTAGTGCGGTTTGAAGTCAATAGCTCTAACATAGGGACCGGGCCACCGCCAGCTCAATAGACACGCCGTGGGAAGTTCCACGTTCCGGGCTCGTGAGTCATTACACGTTTGTTCCTCCGTCCCGCTCAACGGCAGAGGCGTTCCCGCTAGGACGCGTCCACCGTTCCTCCGGTGCCGTCACCCCCAGTTGGCTGCCGGACCCGTGCACCGCGCCATGCCGCCGGCGCTCTGTCACAGGCGGGCGGGTGATGCACCTTCCCGGACCAGGCCGTGCCTGAGCCCGCCCCTGCCCAGCAGACCACGAGCGCCCCGCGCCGGGCCGGCGGCCGTTGTCAGGCGGCCCGCGGTGACGGCCGCCGACGAACAAGGCTGAGAATACCTTCTGGCGGTGACCTCACCAGGCGCCACCCTCTCAGGGAATCCCGCCGTGGACCAGCGATAACCCGCCGGCGGCGAGCTCAGCCAGTCTCGGCTCGCCCAGCGCCCCCTCCCCCCGCGAGTGCCGCTCCACAAGATAAGCGAACAGCCCGGGGAGTTCCCGTCTGACTCACCAGGCTCCGACGCGGGCTGTGCGCGGACGGCAGGCGGCGAGGCCAGAGGCGGACGCGTCAGGACTGCGGCGGCGGCGGGGCGGTGCAGTAGGCCAGCGGAGCCCCAGCCTCCGTCGTCAACCATCCTCGCAGCTGGGTCAGTCAGGAGGTGAGAACGGCCGACGCGCCGCCTACTCGGGGGCCAGCGTCAGGCTCAGGGGTATTCGCGGCAACCCGGACGACGCCGAGTCTGTGCTAAAGTCGTCACTCATACCCCTTTCTCCATTGTCAGACGATCAGAGTTTTCTGCTTTGATCTTCTTCGTCAATCGAATCTTTGCCTGACGCGCACAATCTCTTTTCGCGACTCGATCGAAGCGAGACAGAAGTGACGCAATATGTTCCATTATAACGAAGTCTGTTCGCGTGCCCAAGATCAACCCCTGCTGATAGAACGGTGTCTTATACGTTACGAACAACATAATTTACAGTTTCCGTTGTTAGAAGCACGGGTGGTATCTGCTAACAAAAATCTTAGTGTCCGAGTACATGCATGTGTGCATCATTAGTGCATGCACAGCTATTGTCACGGCAGTTACAAAGATGTAAACAAAGAAGTGTCGCACTGCGAACACATCCGGCAAATATTCCATATCATACCACGTAGAATCTTAAGTTCCTTATGCGCTGGTAATGCGCCCGCAAGTCAAGATCCTGAGCCCTGGCAACAGCCCCGTGTCTTGAGCGTGAGCCCGTGTTTCTGGTGCCTGCTTGGAACGCGGCATGGGCCCGAGTCGTGTCCCTCCATTGTCGCGGCCTATGAGGCTCACTGCGCGTGCGAGCTTCTGGATATTGAGCCTGAGTCATAGGCCAAGTCCGAGTCGTAAGATCGTGCTCCGGGCGCATCAGCTCCATACAGTGTAACACGGAACAAGAGCTATCAGCCCATCAGCCGTGACATCCCTATCAGTCCTATCAGGCCCGATGAGCGTGACGACGGCCAATACTATTAAGGACATAGATCATAACGGTGAGTCACCTTCCGCTTGCTCAAGCTGTCTTGTTTTTCTAACCTAGCGTCACCTGGCGTCTTCCATCGAGCTGTAGGAATACGCTGATTACCTTACGACGTTTTAATGGTAGATGAGAAACAAAATGCAGCAACGAAAGTGTGTGAAGTTACGAATAATTCCTCTCTGGTATTTCGCGAACTCGATGTAGCTTATCTGCGTTCATCTTACTTTGAGCTGACCAGTACTATCGTCAGCCATATTGCTCAGTGCTCGGCACTTACTGCAGCGCCAAAGCTGGCCGTCACCGTGTTCGAGGGACGCTTACACCCGCTGACTGTGTCCCACGGGTCTCATCTTGTTCGACTTTCATGAAACTGCACGCGCAGGCGGTTGCGACTTAACAGATACTCCAGGTGATGCTGGGTTAGTGACGTGTGTCATCCACAGAGATTCAGGTTTTCATACGCATTGGCGTTGGGCAGCTTTTAAGGGGAGTATTCCACATGTGTATGGGGGTTTGGACTGAAATAGCCTCCTTGGAGGTCATTCGGTACGGTTCAAAGCTCAGCCCTTCGTAAGACCCCAAACCCTCTAGTTTACAAGCTACACGCCTGCAAAGATGTGCGTACTTTGTCGGGGAGACAATTTCAAGTTCACCCAGGCATCCATGACGCCATAATAATACCACTGAAATCCCGCTATTTCATCAGCCACGCAGAAATGAAGGGAAACAAAAATTGTCGAGTCGTTCATAACTGGCGTTTGCACGCACGATTTCCAGATAAAACGGCCGTCAATTGGATCTTAATAAACTTTTGCAAGGTAATATGGCGTAATAAAACAATGACGGGTTGAGTGGCTTATTACCTAAACAGAGAGGAATTTTGTTGTGTATAGTAGTTTTTCCGCATAAACGTATACCAATAGATAAAAGTGAGCTTATTTCACCATATGGGATGTTTGTTTCAATGTCATTAGATGAGGAACATTCCCGGTAAGGGGGTATCCCACATTTGGGGCATATTTCGAAAACATACCCTGGTGAAATCTCAGTATTAGTTACGTTTAATGATAGCTCTGGGTAGTGCCACTGCAGTACGGTCAAGACATAATAAACATATCAATTATAATTATTTACGGGTCTTAAAGGGAATGTTCCACATTCGAAGATATTGAGTTAGGTATCAGATATGATGGGAAATGCTTCCTTGTAACTATTGGTAAGCTTTCAAAGTTCCAAAACGACGCTAAGTAGCAAAATTTCAAAGTTTATAAAAATGAGCCTCATTACGTCACTGTATGATGGCGTCATGAAGTGGGTTTGTGACGACAGCAAAACCTGGCAGCATGTGGCAGCCAGACCTAAAGAATGCCTCGAAACACACGAAAGTTGATGCCAACCGGCCATTCTCGTCGCGGGGGCTGTGTCGAGGGGGCGAATTTGTGGATGGGTTATTTGTGGATTTTGTTTTGTCTTGAGGCTGGCCGTAAGAAAAGCTTTCGTGGACTGTTTGGCATGCGCAACGTAGCAATCGCCAGCTTTTATAGCAGATTATTAATATCAAAGCACGATATGCTGTGCTGCTGCTGTTGTTGATTTTGTCAATACTTTATCGTTGACCCATCGTTGCGCGCAGTGCTGTAGTCCTGACATTGACATCATGTGATGCGTATATTAGTCACTTTCTTTATTGTTTGTTGCTGGGAATGGGGTGTCGCGCCAAAATTAATAGATTTGTAACATGGTCTTAATTGCTTGTAACTGGAAATGTGGTGTCATGCGAAAATTAATAAATTTGTAACGTTACCATGCATTGATTGTCAAAGCATTGCCATTGCTATGGTGAAGATGGTAAGGTTGAGCTACCAAGAATGTTTTTTTTGTGCTTAGGATTGTTCATGCAATTAATAGTTAACCCTGATATAACCATTGTGGTGCAACGACATTCTCGCCGGAGACAGTCCTTTGACATTTTTTAATAAATTTTTACCAGTCATTCATAAATTATAAGATGCTACCTCATAGACTTGATAAAGAGTACTCAACCAATGTGGTACATTGTGTAATGGCACTGCTCAATAGCTTCATTTTGCACTAACTCGGTGCTGTTCTGTGGCGTGACATAATGAACAACGATATGGTTTTCCGAATGCAATCCATGCCGCTTTCATAAAAATTTCCAGCATGAAAAGATGTGTCAAGCATGCACTCTTGCATTGACTGCCCGTCTGACATATCACTGATCAAAAACACATGATACAATAAACAGATCACTTTCAGCAAAGCAGACAACCGATAAGTGGCATCACTTGCTCAGCCTGCTTCGGAAATCCAGAAAACGCAGGTGAGAAATATGCAAACACATCTTTCACTTCCATGGTCATGTAACATGCTGCAGCCATAAGGCTGTTTTTCTAAAAAAAAATAACAGGAAAATTTTACATGTGGCAAAATGACACTGCAAACATGCTGACCTTTCACAAGGCTGGAGACATGACAAGTGCATGTAGTTATGGCTGGATGGGCAGAATGCAGGGAAGTGATGAAGCTGCCAGTGCGCACCAGGCTCATGATAAACATATTATTAAGTGCTGTCCAAGACACCAACAGCAATACTTTTCCACCTTTCTCAGCACCCAGCATCCCACGCAAGTTGCAGTGACCATGACATTGATTACTCAGGAGCAATGCTCGCCTGCATGCAAGATTCGTGAAGACTGTGCGATGCGCATCAGTTACAATAAGACAATATTTTCAGAATTCTTTAGGGAAAGACAATTTTGCAAAGCCATATAACGTGAGCCTATTCTGAGCGTGTCCATTAATGAGATACACACACCAGCCCCTACTGCCAAAATGAATTTCTGGCATAATGACAAGCAATGGATTAATTACATGCCGTAATACCTCAATAGGTCCACAATGTTGGCAAGATCATAATGAAGCACCAGTACCAGCACTTGCCTTTGTACAACCCTGCAATAAAAATGATAGTGTTTCTCTCAGTTTGCCAGCATTCCTTTGTCATCTTCAAACACAAACAAAAAGAAAGAGGCAGGCATCAATATCAATAGGCATCAACATATCAGGCATCAATACACCACATTTTATTGAGAGTCAGTAGACTGAAGAATACCAAAACAATGTTCTCTCTCAGCACGCAAACCTCGCACGCACACTCCCCATCACATCAATACCAATACAAGCCACTGGCACACGCCACCAGTGATCACACGTATTTCGAGCCCCCGATTCACACTCTTTTGTCAAATAAGTGTGGTCTCACATTTACACGGCTCGCGGGACTATCAAATTGCTGGTTTTCTCACAATTTCCGCACAAACCTTCAGTCACGACACCCGACTTCACCGCAACCTCCCTTCGAAACAAGGTCCCAACGGGGGTTCATGTTGATGCGGCTCAAGAGGTTCTTGTTAATCACAATATTTTACTCAAGATTGAAATTTGTCGTAGCACATGTGTGAAATATATATATATATATATATATATATATATATATATATATATATATATATATACATATATTTGCTGTAATGTTTCCCTAATTTCATAATGCCTTGCTAACCCATGAACCGTGCAAGGTTCTGTCCTCCGGTACACAAGGCGCCAACCGAGCTGTTTGTAAAAGATACGTTAGTAGAGGAAGAAAAAAACATATGCCAGCAGGAGAAAAGACGGGTTTGCCGTCGCATCTTCTTTTTCATAACTTTGGGAGAGTGACCATTTTTGGGGTGCCGCACGTTTTTGCAGACAGTGACGTTTTTTTATAATACTGACCTGTGACCTAGAAATAGAGAAAAATGACCCGTTCACGACGAGTGTGGCACAAACCGAAATTGCTCACGCTTGTGTTCGCGACACGCATTCAGCGGTAAAATCTTACGGACTCCCAATCATCTTCCGCGGACTGTACCACATGTGCAGCATCATCGCCTTTGCTAATGGATCAGCGGCCATGCTGTTCTGACCATAAACAAAAAACAACCTATAATATCGCGGGGATCTAATGACGTTTCTATGGCGTCACGAATCAGAAGGCGACTTTGAAGTTGGCTATAAAGAAGCCTTTTCGTACTTTGAGGGCATGTAACTCAGGAACCAGAGCGTTTTGGGTCTTTAAAAGGGCATATCCGTGAACTGCACCAAAATGCCGTCAAGATGGCTATCTCGGTTTAAAACGCCAAAAAATGTGGAACATTCCCTTTGATAACGCTGTCCACGCTTCGCAATAGCGCTGCGCTTCTTCCTCACGGTGACGGCTATTGTCGTCATGACAACCACCGTGCAATCCTCTGGTGGTATGAATAATAGAACGTTTGTAATTGGCCCAGCGGGCTAGGTCCTGTTACCGGAAATTTGGTTGGTTGAAGTTTGAACCAGTGCGTCGCATGGTTCATGCGACACTCCCATTCCCAAGCCAAAATGCGCCTCGGAAAGATCCACTATGTTAAACGCCACAATGGAGAAATGAAAACCACGGGATTACGTTCCGTTGAATTCGAGGGAAAAAGATTCATGTCCGCACATATTTTTATCTAAACAGAGTACATCAAGCTTCCATAATATGTATCACAAATATTTTTACAAATTAGAGCATTCCAAATATTATAGAACATACACATTGCAAAAAGACAAATGAAATGTTTTCCTCTCCTAGTTCTGAGCATGGACTCGAACGGGATTTCTCCGCGGGGCCGGCTACTTCAAATAAAAATACCCAACTAGTTAGAGGGATTTGGAGAAAACTGGTATTGCTCTTCAAAGTCCACGTGTTAGATATAACCGTAATTGAAAACACAAGAAGGTGCGATACATTCTTTAAATTTGTCAATTTTTTATCCGAAGGCTTCAGATTTTCATTGCCAAATGCCGAGAACCGAACCTTACAGCTCTGGTTCAAACCGTTACCATTTTTGCCAATGAGAACAAATTGCTTACAACATTTGATAGGCTATTTAAAAAAAACAATTCATTCGATATTTGATGATATATATGCAGATTCATGTCTTTATTTCGCACGACAGTACGTGACCAGCTGCACACCAGGATGAATATCTGTGCCAATACAATGGCACGATTTTGTCTCCATCCAACTGCTTGGGCCCCGAGTCGCCACGGCTCCGGGCTGACGAATGCCCCTTCACACCTCTGAATATTTGCCGCGCATCTGATAGACGCCATGATACGTGGGGGAATCGGCCAACGCGACCGTCACGCCCGATGGCGCATAACCAGCCGCATACATAAACGGTTGTTACCGTCAGTGTGCAGTGGCATGCCATTGTCTCGACCGAATCGTGTTTATCCTTTCAGCTACTACCCTCAGTTGCCAGATGCTCAGTGAATGCTACATCCGAATAGCAACTACCTGATTGCCAGATTTAGACGCCAACGCGCCCGCATTTGATTGCTTCCTGCGAGATTGATCGCCTCCCGGTCGATTACTGGCGCCGCTAAGTCTGCCAGTGTTTAGATATCTGGATGATTTGCAGACGGTACATGCACATACACAGTGCAATTAGTTCCTAATCGTTGCCTGTTCAGGCTGTCGGACCTGACACCTGAAACCGCTCCAAAACCGTCAGCTTACACTGCTTGTGCACGAGCGCAAACAGCGCCGTGCAGAACAATAGTGCCTGGCATCAGGCTGGCCTGGACCAAAGCCGAATTGTATGTACGCGGCCAGCTAACATTGGCATTGAGCCTCGGCTGCACACGTGCATGCCTGGCCCACACACGGATTGGTGAACAACACCGAGAGCATGCTATCAGGTCTTGTTATTCGTGTTCGCTGCAGAGGGCGGCCTCGTACGCCAACGCAGAGCTGAGTGCAGATATTGTTCAGTCTTCCCTTTTTCAGAGGGACGCAGATATGGCGGGAGCGAAGCATATACTGGCCACGGGCAAGGATGGAACATTCTGCTTGAATCACAAAAACCTGGAGTCCATTCTTTTCCCCGATGACGTCTTGGACAAGCCCGTCGTGGTGATCTCAGTAGCTGGTGCCTTCCGAAAGGGCAAGTCGTTTCTACTGGACATGATGCTTCGGTATCTTGAGGCTCCGGACAAGACCAACTGGATCGATGAAAAGCGATGCCGGGGTTCGGGGTTTCCCTGGCAGGGTGGCTACAGACGTCACACGACCGGAATTTTGATGTGGTCGAAACCAATCCCCGTCACTCTACCATCGGGGGAAGAGGCTGTGGTCCTACTGATGGACACACAAGGAACATTCGACAACCAGTCGACTGTCCACGAATCAGCTACCGTGTTTGCACTCAGCACGTTGCTGAGCTCTCTGCAAATCTTCAACTTGATGGGCAACGTGCAGAACGATGATCTGGAGCATCTGCAATTGTTCACCGAGTATGGCCGCCTAGCCATGGAAGACAGTGACACCAAACCCTTCCAGAAGCTACTCTTCCTGGTCCGCGACTGGCAATTCATCGATGACCTTGCTCTCGGAGCTAGAGGAGGGGATGAACTTGTGCGAGAATGGCTCCGGAACAAAAGCGGTAAGGCAGAGCTAGAGAGGGTCCGAAAGCACATCAGTGACTGTTTCACCGAGATCACTGGATTCCTTCTACCACATCCCGGCCAGACGGTCGCGAGCAGTGCCAAATTTGACGGGTGTGCCAACGACATGGACCCAAAATTCGCCGACGGACTCAAAGAGCTGATGCCGATGCTTCTGTCACCAGAGAGGCTGACCATCAAGACCATTGCTGGCAATACCGTGAAGGCGAGAGATCTTGTGAACTACATGGAAATGTACGTCAGCTTGTTCAAAAGCGGCAAGATCCCAAAGCCAAAGAACATCCTTCAGGTGACGGCAGAGGCTAACAACATGGCAGCAGTTCAAGAGGCGAAGTCACAGTACATCAAGGACATGCAAAGTCTGCTGGGTGCCGACGGACCTTCCCTGGACGAAAATGAGCTGTTCAAACACCACAACGAAGCAGCGCGGAAGGCTGAAAAGGCCTTCAAGAGCCACAAGAAAATGGGGGACTGGAAAGTGTCGGAAGAGTATCACACGAGGCTGGTGCTGGAAATGGAAGAGTGGTTTGGGTACGTGGAGCAGGCAAACAAAATGAAACGTGAAACAGAGATGCTAAACGCGGAAAAACACAATGCGGTCCTGGTGGACACCTGCAAGCAGACATACACTCAGGAAATGCAAGAAGTTGCCGGCGAAGAGGTAGCCCACGTTCCTTCCCAACAGCTGGAAAATGCACACATCGAGGCCAAGCAAAAGGCCATGAGCCAGTATGATGCAGAGAAAGTTGAACTTGGCAATGCTGCCACGGAAAGCCGCTTCAGGCTGGTTGAAGTCATCGATGCGGAGCTGAGACAAATGGTGTTCCACAACAATGTTAAGAAGGATGCCAGTAACCAAAGATTTGCTCGGACCAACATGGACGCAGTACGGCAGTCGAAGGAGTGTTATCAATCCATGATGAACACTCTGACGCTCAACGAAGTCCTGTCTGACGAAAGGCTGAGGGAAGGGCATCAGCAGGCTCTAACCGCAGCTTTAGACATGTTCGAGACGCTCAAAGCGGGTGATGAGGACATGTGCGCCGGCTACTTCGAAACCTTGAAATGCGATTTAGACCGCGATTTAAGCGGCTATGTGCGTGCAAATGTGCATAAAACACAGATGGCGGCCATCAACGCGCGGGTGGTGGCGCTTCAAAACCAGGTGCTGCAATCCCAGAGAACGAACACACGGAAATGTAACATACTGTAAGCAGGATTCTCGTGCTGGATGCTTGGAAAGCGCACAAAGAAGTGGGAGTAAAAGGCGGCCGCCTACAACCACAGAAATTGCGTCGCATGACGCACAGTTGACAAGAAGTTAGACCACTGTTAAATGATCCGCCGTTGTCGTGTTTGTCTTGAATGCTTTGGCGCTAGTCGTATTAGCCAAAGGCTTGGCTGACACGCACGCGTCGTCCGCTACTCTCCGTGTATCGACAGATGTGTGCCTTCGGACCAGGAGGTACTTGTGAGGGGTGTTTACAACAGATATTGTTACCCACTCGTGGCAGGGTGTGCGGGAAGTGGATATGCTTTTTACGTGGATGTGTACAATAAACAGTACGTACCGCATACTGTAATTAGTATCATCTGGACAGAAAGAGTCAGTCAGCGTGTTAAGTATGATTTTAGTCAGTTTGTTACCGAATGTCTGCAGTCTGAGCAATTCTAAAATGCTGTTCCGTGATTTCTGCTCAAACTGTAAATGGCTGGTCGACGTAACTCAACAAATACATACATGTTTAAATGCATGCGATGCGACTTTGCATGCATGCGACTTTGTTAATACCGTGAGAAATTACAAGTTGTTGGTACCACCAGGCCCCAGAGCGCGCGATCACCGAATTTCAAAGGAATTTATGTATACATCAGCAAATGCATCAGTGCATGGATTGATGCATGCGTTTACCGGTGCCAGCCGGTGAGCATGTCCGCCGACGCCGGACGCATCACAGCGTCTGTAGGCTAGTACGCAACATTCCTCTCTGCGTGAGGCAGAAGGCTGGGGGACGCCAGGTCGAGTCCGTGGATGGCTGCTTCGCCTTGGCGTCTCTGACGGGGCCGTATCGGACAAACGAGCTCTGCCGGAGCCGTGCGGCCCTGCTTCCCTGGCGTCTCTGACGGGGCCGCATCGGACAGACGAGCTCTGCCGGAGCCGTCCGGCCCTGCTCCCCTGGCGTCTCTGACGGGGCCGCATCGGACAGACGAGCTCTGCCGGAGCCGTGCGGCCCTGCTCCCCTGGCGTCTCTGACGGGGCCGCATCGGACAGACGAGCTCTGCCGAAGCCGTCCGGCCCTGCTCCCCTGGCGTCTCTGACGGCCCGCATCGGACAGACGAGCTCTGCCGGAGCCGTCCGGCCCTGCTTCCCTGGCCGATAATCTGGTGGAAGTCTCTGGTTTGTCGGCAGCCCCTCACCTGCTTCCCTGACAGGTAATCTAGTGGAAGTCTCTGGTTTGTCGGCAGCCCCTCAGCAGGGCCTGAGCCGTCCGGCCCTGCTTCCCTGGCAGATAATCTGGTGGAAATCTCTGGTTTGTCGGCAGCCCTCGGCAGGGCCGGAGCCGTCCGGCCCTGCTCCCCTGGCAGATAATCTGGTGGAAGTCTCTGGTTTGTCGGCAGCCCCTCGGCAGGGCCGGAGCCGTCCGGCCCCGCTCCCCTGGCAGATAATCTGGTGGAAGTCTCTGGTTTGTCGGCAGCCCCTCACCTGCTTCCCTGGCAGATAATCTGGTGGAAGTCTCTGGCTCGTCGGCAGCCCTCAGTGGTTGACGCTCTTGCCAGTCGGACCGCGTTCCATGGTTTGCTATCGGACATCTGGAATGTGGTGACCCCAGCCTTCTTGCCGACACGAACAGGCTGCGAGAGGGGCGGGCCCTCTTTGGCTGATGTCCTGGGATCTTAAAGCATGCGAGTCGGGGATGTCTGGACCGCCTGTTCCCACCCGGCCGTCGTAAGACGCCTTGTTAACCGCCTGTCGCCTCGTGGGTCTTATCGTCAGATCCCTATCGACTGGGGCGGCCGTCGAAGGCGGCCGCCCTATCGGGAAGGCGAGTCTCATTCGGTGCCCGTGGAACAGCTCAGAGCTGGACTCGCCCTTTGTGGAGCAGCTCAGAGCGCGACTCGCCCTTTGTGGAGCAGCTCAGATCGCGACTCGCCCTTTGTGGAGCAACTCAGAGCGCGACTCGCCCCTTGTGGAGCAGCTCAGAGCGCGGCTCGTCCTTTGTAGAGCAACTCAGAGCGCGACTCGACCCTTGTGGAGCAGCTCAGATCGCGACTCGCCCTTTGTGGAGCAGCTCAGAGTGCGACTCGCCCTTTGTGGAGGGTGAACTGTCCCCATATTCGAACCTGGCTTCCGAAGTTTGCCTCAGCCCACATGCCCTGGATTATCCACATCTTGAACGCCTTGTTAAGCGTTCCACCGCAGCTTCCAAAAGGCCAGTAAAAATCCGACTTCTTGTGGTAGGTGCCGCAGTGCTTGAAATAGGCTTCCAACCACCAACTGAGAAACTATCGTCCGGGTCAGATCCCAGTTCGTGTAGGTCTTCGTGGGTCCAGAGGGCGCTGATGAGCTTGGTGATATCTGTGGACTCGACGATGGGAGTCGGGGCACCCTCCGCTCGACGGTAGGAGTCTGGGCAGCCTCCACATGGCGATAAGAGCTGGTGCAGACTCCATTCGACAGTAAGAGTCGGAGCAGACCCCACTTGACGATGGGAGTCGGGGCAGCCTCAACTCGACGGTAGGAGTCTGGGCAGCCTCCACTCGACGGTAAGAGTCGGAGCAGACTCCACTTAACGGTAGGAATCGGGGCAGCCTCCACCCGTTGGTAGGAGTCATGGTAGCCTCTGCCCACATGCAATGGTAGTCCACCATGCAGGCTGCAATTCGAGCAACTGGGGGAGCGGCGTCGATGAGGCCGACCACGTCGACCCGGAGTTTCGACCATGGCCGCTCTGGCAGTGGCACGAGCTGCAATGATACGGGACGAGCATGACCACTCGGCACCTTGTCGCTGATTTGGCAGAGGTCACCATGACGGACGGGCTTCTCCACGTCCCTGTCAGTCCCTGGCTAAGCTCCGTACGACTCGCTTGGTAGGCCCCATGTCGTCGCTTGCGCTGTGAACGAGTTGAAGGCAGCGACTTCTCACCTGGCGGGGAGTGTTCGCTTGCTGAAGAGCACAGAGACGACATCGCTGGCAGGCATGGTGACTCGTGTCGGATTTTATGAAAAGTTGGACCGCTTCTAGGGAGCACGCGTCCGAACCTCACCGAAATAGTGCGCGTCACATTCGTAACCGTCACGAGAGCACCACGCCGGCGAGGAGCGAAGCGTCTTGAGAACCGCCACGCCAAATTTGCCATGGCGTGGGCCTTTGAGAACGAAGGGAGGGACACATGACCGTAAGTAGCTTAATACCGCCAATTTAGTTTTGGGAGTTTGACTTGAGTGTTGTACTTGAGACCTACCTAAGAACTGTCATGGCGCCCATTTATGCATTTGCTCCAAAAACTCCCGATCAACATATCTTAAAACGTTGCAAAAATCACTCCTTGTCACACCTTTCATGCAGGGCTCTATGACATGTTAAGAAAATACTTTAAGCACATGAAGAAGTGACAGTTTCTAGAGGATTTCGGATTCAGGAAAACAGATCTCTCAAAATGAGTGATGTGCCTCATTTTGTTTGTGCAGGGTAGCTCCAGAAAGAGAAAATTGAAGGATTTGTGATGGTAGTTTTAATGTAGAATGTCTGCACGGCTGCCTGCGCGCAGCTGTTGGTATTGGTGGTGCATTACGCTGCTGAATGCTGGGTCGGTCCGGTCCGGTTCAGTCCGGTCCGGTCCGGACCGGTCCGGGTCGTCGGCTCGGGTCACCCTGCCCGGGGTGTCGCGCCGGGCGCGGCCCTATATGGCGTGCGGCGATTGGTTCGCGACCACGTGACCCCTGTCGGGTCGCCGGGGCGCGGGGAGCGGGACTGTTGGAGCGCAACAGGGCGAGTGCAGAGGTTCTCGAGATGGCAGCGGCCAGCGGAGAGGAGGCTTGATGAATACACAAATTAAACGCATCTCCAGCCATGCTATCAGACAACCTCGGCCAGGCTTGCATTAACTTGCTTTCAATGATTTGCGTTTCTACTGGTTCGATGTTTCCAGTAATATTAAACTATGACGTTGTGAACTTTAGCATTCAAACCTTGACATTTTAGGCAATGACGTGACTCCTTTCGGTACAGCTGCTTCACTACACGTCATTTGTTTTCTTCGGTGGTGCAGAAGAAGGAACGGTGTGCGCGTGCGCGCGCATGCAGACGGGCACGCGCACGCGCACGCATGCAGTTGACACGTCTACGTTAATTCACAAGCCTGGCGTATTTTTGCTGACATGATACGACTGCTTATGGATTTTACGTGACCCAGGTATAAAAATGTCTGAACATACTCGCATGTCACGGACCATACAGGCAGGGCCGGCTGTAGGGAGGGGAAAATTGCCAAACATGAACATGAAAATTGACAAAATTGGGAAACATGAGCCTCAGACAGGCTCTTGTCGGGAAACATGCTTGGGTATACACTGTGTAACTCCTTTTAGCGGTACAAGAAAATAAATTTTAATATTCAGATTCACCAATGAATGTATTTGAGATCGAACTGACGACCCATATCATGCAGAATTCCATCGAGTACCCTTAGGAGTGGTTTTGTAGCAAAAGCATCAGGACATCTACATTAGACACATGCACTGTACATATCTCATCCTTACTCTCAGCAGGCGGTTGCAATTTTTCCCAGGCTGCTCCTGCTTCTGAAGTCCAACTTCCCTTGATCAGTTGCAGCTACCATTCGCCAGGGAGTCGAGCACCACATCACCCAGGTGAACCCCATTTTAGGCTGCAGGCCACGACGCTGAACGGAAAGGGTAGGGAAATGTATCCCGAGAGTTTGGCGGGAGTCTGATGGCGTACCTGGAGGACAATATCATCCTCGAGTGTGATAACTTCAGAAGTCGCATGGGAAACATGGTTATCGCCAGCTGAAAATGGCAATTAAATGTGCACAGCGAACGCGTCAAATGTGCTGGTGCGCCAAAGCCATCGGTCACAGGCCTGTCATCAGGACATTCGTTATAACGCCGCTCAACATGTGTCGTGAGACTAGTCACGTATATGGTCCCTTGGTGTGACCAACGCCTTCTACAGCAAGATTGAAAAGGTGCGTGCTCATGCGAAGTTTACGACATGAGTCAGACTGAGGAACATTGGTAACCCCCCCCCCCCCCCCACAATCCCTAAAGACTCGTACCATGCCAGAGTAAATGCACCGTCCGTTTAAATGAGCGTCGGCCCTTCCACTGCGGCAAGGACGGAACGTATGTCGCCATGGGCGTAGTTCCGCAAAATAAGTTGGGGACTGAGCAGTGAAAAATAACGAAAAAGCTGTCCTCAAGTGACGAACCGATTTGCTTCTGCCCAAAATGGACGGCCTTTTTGTCAAAGTTGAGGAAGACGGGTCTGGAGAACCCCCAACTGAATATTAAACTACACTCTAGTATATTTTTTACTCTAAATTTAGCCTCTTCAGACGTACGACACAGGCTGGTACCAACACTGTCCGCGACACATCCGGCGTATACGTTTGGAAAATATTCAAAATGGGCTGTTTTCAAACTCAACTAGTGGTTTTGTTTAATTCCGTTCACCTTACTGGGACGTTCCTATTTCATTGTCACATCCTTCGTCTAAGAATAAATAGACATCATGATGCCATTAAGTCTAGACCAACGTTTGGTGTGGACGCTGCCGAATTTGGTGAATGTCCCGTGATATTTTGTTTTGTCTGATAATGGTTGCTAGTGTTACTACTCGCGACATCACGTCTGTAACTTTTCCGCATCAAAATTATTCTCAGCAGCTGCACTTAAACTCAGCGATTAGAGTAGATCAGCATGATACAGGTACGTCCGGTCCAATGCAGACTTCAGCCACCCGATGGCG